GAGCTATTGTAAGAAACTCTCAGTTCTGGTTGTTATCCTGCATGCCAAGACAAGACTGAGCATATGATTACATTTGCTGTATTTTATTGATTGTGCAACAATTTGCCTAATTTCTGTTATTGTTCTGGCAGCTGCACTGAGGGTTGCGTCTTACTTGCCATTTCCTTATTCTGCATTAAGCTCTCTGACAATTGTCCCAACCCCGTTAAGGGATGTTGTCTATGATTATGTTGCCAAGCGGCGGTATGACTGGTTTGGGAAGAGTCCTGATTGCTTAGTTATCAAAGAAAAAGAGTTGCTGGAGCGTTTTATAGATTGGGAAGAAATACTAGATAAGAGCCAACCAGAGTTGTGATTGTCTTCAAATTATTAGAGATTTGCCAGTTAATTGGGCGATCAATGTGGTTAAGAACTGAAGTATTTGGATTTCTCTGTAGGATTTTTTTGGATGTAATGTTGATATTTGGAAATTGATTAGGGGGGCTACAAATCAAATGAGAGCATCCTAACTGACAGTTTTAATCATCACTTAAAAGCTAGAATGAGTGAACGATCCGTGAAAGGGGAATTTGTTTTTTGATTTTTTCCCTCTCAGCACCCGGACTCTGTCCTGTTATTTGGCGCTCTACATGTTGGATCTGATACAAACTGGTCAACTGAAAGCAGCTTCGCTTCATTGTAGATGCAATTCCTGTATTCTCACAACTAAAGAAGGATGACACAGACATGATATGATGGCCACTGGTTTACCACTTTTTGCTTCCTCGTTCTGTTATCTTTCTTGGGATACATGCTTTCTTGTTCATTATCATGGATTACATTCTTGTTGCTGGCTTTGTAGCTTGCTGTTTGAGTTATTGGTCTGATAGCTTTCATTATCTCTTTAACACTTTTCCACAAGAGCTGGCATATGTAAGAAATCACAAGTCACAAATCCTCCAAGTACACTATGGGACTGATGTCTAGTACATCGACCCCTTGTAGCTTTATGACTGTCAGTTAATCACCTGATACAGTGAAGAAGGATTCACAAGTTCAGGAACGTAGGGTACCTCATGGAATATCCTCTGATTTATATACCCAAGTAGCATCCTTTCGAATCTGACTTAGGTGTATGTCAAAACCCAAATGGGTCCTTTTTATCAATTTTGTTACACTCTAATTGCTATTTCTAGTGTAAATTCCGATTTTTTTTTTATAATGAGATATAAAGGAGGTCTAAATCAGCTATAGTCGAATTTATCAAAGCTTTTAATCCAATAAGAGGTACAATTTCTGAAATCTGGTCCTTTTTCACTAGTATCTCTATACTTGTCGTCCCTGTTTTTCCGGAGCAAACCATGTCCATTGTTTTGCACCTTTTCAATCTAAATTGTCAATGAAAAAAATTATCAATCTAAATTGTCAATAAAAAAAAAATTATCCCAGTAAACAATGCAAAAGCAAACTTATCTTCTGTAACCAAACCTCATTTTGCCAACCATAAGAACCAATTCTGCAGAAACAAATTTGATTCTATATTTCTTAAATTCTTTTCTACGGCTATGTTACGGTTGTTGTCTTCCTCAACCTCATGATCATCCCCTCCCTTCCTCTACAACCAAGAATTTGAAAGGCAAGATGAGGTGAGGGCCGAAGAAATTGTTTTTCTAGGGAAGGAAAATATCGAGTATTTTAATTCCTCCTTTATCCTCAGCCTTTCTTGTTATGTAAACAAGCATGATTTTGAGGAAATTGTTTAAATGGCTTTCGCTTCTGATTCAGTTAGCAATTGGGCTGCTTTTTTTGGTATCCCTGCTGTACATGGCTGTTCTTCTTATTATACAACTAATAAGGTTCTTCAAGAAAAAATTCTCTGTAAAGAGAATCCACCATGTTGATGATCCAACTGAGGCTGACAATCATCAATAACAATATGATCCAACTGAGGTTGGCAATCATCAATTACAATTGACAACTGGGGAAGAATGCTCCAGCTCTAGGTAGGCGAGATGAGAAAGATGCGTTTGAATGTACACGAGGAACAGAGAATATGGGGCGAGGCTATCTTCATCTTGTTCTTTTTCTGGTCTATGGTTGATGTTGTATAGATTTACCATTTTTACTCACAACCACTTAAATTGTAGATTTTTTTGAGGAAACAAATGGTAATTAAAGACCACGGAAATTTGATTTCATTTCCTTCCCAGTTTTCTTCTAAAGGTTGTAGTCTGGTCTGAATTAACACAGAACTTCCACTTCCACTTCCGAACGAATGGATTAGCTAAAGGCAATAATTCTTCTCCCCCCCCCCCCCCCCACCCACAAAAAAAAAATTAAAATTCCCTTTTTTGGGTTTTTTTGGTCGTGCTGGTCTTCAGGCGTTGCCAAAACAGAATTGTATTTCATTTCATTGCATGATCAACTGATTCAGATAGTCTTAGAGCTGAATATGGTCGAAAGGTTAAATGCTGTTAAATTTTACATCACAAAATGGTAATCTACAACAGCAAGGTCTCCAATAAGGACTGGATGATTTCTGATTTTTATGCCTGCGTCTGGCTTGAGAAGAAAAATCTATTAGGTAGGTTGCTAGAAAGAGTATTGAAGCAGATGAACAAAATCAAAGAAAAAATTTGAAAAAAAAAAACAAAAAAAAAAAAGAAAGACGTATCATGTATGACTTTCACCAGTTATGTGCATTTATATAATTTCTCAGCATATACATCATAATCCTTGATTAGCAAACTCCTGCAACAATCTTAGCACAATACTTGACCAATAATTTTTTTTAAAAAAAATTGTCTAGAAACAGTATTCATCTGCTGGAGATGGAAATTTTCTAACATTTGTTATCTATAGAGTGAAATATTCGTTAATAGCTTCACCTTCTTTTGAAACATCGATGTCATAGTCTGAGAATGCATCTTTGCCTCTCAATTCACGGATAAGTTCAGCTTCCATCTCCTCATCCCGCATATCGTCCTTTTGACTTGAAGGATTTCCAGCATGATTAGCAACAGCACCTCAACCTTGGGTACCAACGCCAGTGGCTGCAGCAACATCTTCATTGGGTTGCCCAACCGTTGCAGCTTCTTCTGTTCTCCGTCTTTTGCTCTTCCCAAGTTCGATAGCAACCTGTATGGCAGCATATGTTTCTTGATTTGTCAAGTCATCCAGCGACTTTTGAGTGTCATTTTCGTTTCTTCGCAAGGCTTCCACGGCAAGCTCTCTGTTGAATCCCAGTGAGACCAATTCAACCAATTTCTGAAGATCCACAGCTTTCCCAAGTGGTGCCATTCCATATCGCTTCTTCTGCAAAATCTCTACTAGATGCAGCGGGTCCTTCTTGAGATTCTTTATCTTACTTTCTCTTTCCTCAACGAGAAAATCAACGGCGCTCTCCACATCCAGTTTCTCGTACGAAGAGCCCTCTTAGCATTCCCTTCTTTGTATCCCATACCCGCGAGAATTGAAAAGGCTTCATCAGGCACTTTGAAGCTGAAAAAATTTCATCTGAGCATCGCCACTCAAGGCCCTCCAACAATTTTCAAACCGCCCACTATGATATGCTACTATTCCTTCCAACAGCTCCAGCCTGAGGTACAAAGGAAGCTAGGGACATCGTCCTCCTCCCTGGAGGAGTCTCATACGAACGGAATCCTTGCCATGAGCGCGCTCAAGCCCCTCTCTGGCTTTTGCAAGGCGCCACCCAGCAACTGCAAGCCAGCTAATATCGCGGAGCATGAAATAGCACCATACAGTGTCTATTTGTAGAATGGAAACATTGTCAACCAGCTCAATGGCCTTTGGATCGCACAGGGAGAATGCCTCCTCACCCATATTCAGCACCTCTCTAGTCTCTACTTCTCTCTTGTGATCAACTGCTTAGCATTGGTGTGCAACGTGAGTCCCATCATTATTGCTCATGGCCAGTCTCAGTGCCCAGCTGAACTTTCTGCCCGCTCTGATTTTGGAGCTCCAAGTTGAAGTTTTCAACAGGTAATGATCCATCAGGCATCAGTATGTCTCCGGGCCAAGGAAGTCGCAGCAAACTTGAGCCTGGAGAGTCGCTTGGAGCGCTCTTCTTCAGCCAAGAATCCTTGTTTCAGTTTGCCTTGATCAGCACAGACCCTTGACGCCAAAATCTTGGAATTGTTCTCGAGACCCAACTGGCTGAGCTTTACAGTGCCATCGCCATCTTTCAAGACTTTGCCAGCGGCTATTAAATTTATAGTCTGAGGCCCTCCGGCGCAGTCAGATCGCTTTGCAACTTCTTCTCTCAAAATGGCCACTGTCCATTCTTCCAATTCCAGTTCCAAATTCCAATACCGCACCCCGACCCCATGCCCCTTCTGTCTTCAGTTTTGCCATACCCATCTCGTTTAGTACTACAGTACAAACCAATATATGAACCAGGCGTTGGAGATACAAGTAGGTGATTAACAATAGAAGCAAGAGATCAAAGTGGCACCTTGTTTAATTGGTCGACCTCCAATTCAATAATACGTAGACGAAGAGGGAAAGTTCGACTTAGTTAAGGATTCCAATTTGGTACCTTGTTTAATTCGTCGACCTCCAATAGGAGTAACATATAGACAAGACAACTTTCGATTCACTCAAGGATTAACACATACGTCAATCCATCCTTCAAACGTCTTTTCAGTAAGTTTCCAAATTCGGACCTCCGTAATTTCACTTTAAAGCCTTCCAAAAGTTTCTGATTTTGGGAGCAAGTTATTGCTGCCTACATGGGAAGCGAGGATCAATTTCAGTTACCTTAATTTCTTTTGGTCAGCCATAAGATTAAAAAGATGGGTAGAAGCTAGGAGAATACGCTACACCTAAGCGTAAGAAAAGGATGCTCTGTTGTTTCGAGCACACAGGAAAAGAAATTTTAAGAATCTAACTCCAATGATATGGGAAGTTGTACTCTCTTTTTAAAAAAAAAAAAAAAAAAAAAAAAAAAAAAAAAAAAAGCTGTGGCTGGAGAGGGGGGCGGGGAAGGGGGAAACGAGAAGTTGTAAATTCTTGTATCTTCCTCGACGGGATTCGATTTACATATTTTAGGTTAACATTCCAAAATTTGCTTCGCGCAAACAGAGATGATTCACGTTATTTACATATATATACTCACAAAAATTTTCCACTTTGAAGAACGTAAAGCAAGGGAATCAAAAATTCCAAGGACAAGTTCATGGAGCGAACTTCGTCCCCTACAGATCGCCTCCATAGCTTTTTTGAATAATCATCAGCCGAGTGGACAACCAAATTAACTAAAAGCTAGCATGACAGGCACATCTCTTCCAGTGACGATAGTCATCAAGCAAATCCTTGGCGTCTGGAAATTCAAGGATCTATAGAGCTGCCCGTTTGTTATAAATTTCTTTCATGCGGTTCAAGCCAAGGAAAGCCAAGGAAATCAAAGACCTCTTTTTCTGTCCGAAGTTTCAAACTGGCACTACCTTTACCCTGGATTACACATTCAGTGCCACAATAAATTAAGAAATTAGGAGCAAGTAACAGAAAATAAAAACAATGATGCATACCCGTTGGCCACCAGAGCCACGAGTAGCTGGAAATAACCCTGTATCATCCAATCGGAAACCCTTGGATTCTGCCAGTAGTCTCAACCTGGAATATTAACCACCAGTATTGAATGGCTAAACACATTAAAAATAAATAGCAAACAAAATGCAAAGGCACCAAGATGCTGTTGCAGACAACGGTAACTTAATCTGCCTAATTATGAAATCAAAGACTGTAGCAGAAAGGAAAACCATGACTCAGAATGATATGACTAAAAGAGATAACACGACAATCCACCATTGGTTTTCAGTCGGAATGTTATGGTGATTGCACCAAAAACGAGAGGAAAGTATTCTAGGTTGTCTTTGGGAACAATCTACATTGTCTCTGTGGATCCAATAGGCTAATAGCTCCACAATCTACATTTTCCCATTGACGCTCATTAGGTAGCATGTAAGGGTTAGAAAAGGGGAAGGGAAGCCTGACCGGAAGATCTCCTGCACAAACATGCCAAATTTTTAGTGTATTTCATCAGGTGTGCACGGTATGAGCTTAGCCTAAAACAATGGTTCAACAAGAAACAAGCAATTGAGTCCAGAAGGCCAAAACATAAAGAAAACAAAAGAAAGAAACAAGCAATGAGAATGCATACAGATCTAAAGAATGACCTCAAAATGCCACATCAATTCAGGATCAACTTATCCCTGTTTGTCAGACAGAATTTCAGGTACATTTATGTATATGTGTATGTAAAAGTAGCCATCATAACTCAGTCCCACACATGACAAATGGGAGGCAGGTCCTTCATGTACAATGTTTATGTCGTGGAGATGATTAAAATGATTAAAATGACTTACAAAGAACTGTTACAACGATTAAATCCAATTGGTGAAGAGTGCATGTCACATAATGGTGAAAATATCAGTTAGCATAAGTGAAAAAAATGAGTAGTGCATCAGAAATGGTTGGGATGGTGAGTGGAGACAATAACTTCACAGTCATTCATGTAAAGAAACGGGACAATAGATTGAACATATGTTGCAAAACAGAATAAGATAGCAAATCGAAAAACAGGCAGTTGAAAATGGCAATTTTGGCCTCGGACAGATGCACTTGTATGACAAATTTGTAAGTGTGCATCCTCATGAGAGATGAAGGCCCACATTGTCAGCTCAATCTCTAATGCTGGATAAGTATCCTAATTGAAAGATCAGATGTACAAATTCCAAATTAAAGTGAACGGACCAACCTCCTGTTCAATACGTCATTCCCCGTCCAAGCTATCAATCCAAATGCATGGATGTCCCTTGGATAAACCTGTAAACACCGGCACATTTAGAAATCAGCTCTAGTGCTTAAAAAACATAAAAGAGCCAGAAATTAATGGTTTATATAAGTCAAGGTGAAAGCATTTCTTTTAGCTCTAGATCTTATCATCATAAGTAATGCCAAAGAACTAGTTACAAAAACATAAGATTAAAAATAAAAAGTAATATCATAAAACTACAACCATGACAAAGCATAAGTTTTCCCCAAATGACAGGAAAAGTCAAGATACTAACAAAAATTTAGAAGATAAAACAATGAGTGCTCCACCCCTGAATGAGCAGAAGAAACAATCCACCTCTCAGTAGATGTAACTAAAAGGACAAATTTCACTATATTTGCAACAATGAAAAGACATATGATATATTTCCATGACTTACCATATCAACCAGGAAAATTACAACTTCATCAAAACACATAAACCAAAACTCAAGTACCTTGAAGTCTATGCGGTGCCGCAATTCTCGTCCAGGGTAAGTGCAAAGGCCAAAGTAAGTGTCCACTCCTGAATCTGTACCCTGGGCACATGAAACGAATGAGTAAATATCAACCAACAGGAAATATATTCCATCAACAGGCTCATGCAAACGCAACTGCTGAACCTAATAAATTCTTTTGACTTTAGCTGGTCTAAAAATACAGCCACTAGATCTTCTGGGAGAAACCACATAATCACTGAAAAATATTTCAGGAAGGTTAACAGATAGAATGCAACTTAAAGAACAAGATAAAGGAAGTGGTTGAGAGATGGGTGGACGGAAAGCCAAATTTCAGAAACCAAACAAACTAAATGTTAAATAACCATTAGCAAACATCATTTAATACCAAGTAGGAACCTCTCCAGGGAAATTATTTCAGGCTGCAATTTGAATATTTAAAAAGGAAAAAAAAAACTCTACATAAGGTATGAGACAATGTTCAAATTCCTAGATAAGTTGCTGATAGAGATGCAAGATATGTTCTCCAGCCAAAACTAACACTATGAAATAGTAAGAAGAAATATAAACAAGTTATATCAAAGAAATAAGAAGACATACGTTACTCAATTTAAAGACAATTCAGATCAAGACAAGCCATTCTCTAGATTGTCTTACAATAATTAAGTAAATACATTCAATGCAGATAAGGAGGTTTAGAGTTAGAAAGACCTCTTCGCTGTGAACTCTAAAGACCAAATCTTCTCTCAAGAACTTCATGTCTTTCAGGTGCTTCACATACTGTGGGAGAAAGCCTACATGACTGCAAGAATAAAGAACTATTTTCAGCCTCTCAACAAGTGCCAGAAAAAAAGAGAATGGGGCCTTATCTAAAAAATCTTGGCAAAATGTGCAACAATAACAATCATTGCTTGAGCAACATTTAAAGCTAGGTCTGCCAGCATGGTGAATTCTTTACTTTCATCCCAAACCACAGCCCAACCTTCAACCCAAAAGTACAAAGGACAGAACTATTAGCACTGCCCTTTCTTTCTTGTCCATTCTCTCTTGCTGATTATATTTTCTGGGAGAACTCATGGGGATATGCAAATTTTGTGGAAGTGAAATTGGAAAATTGATAACTTTTACCATCAGGATGAGTAATTAATATGTCCAAATCCCCACAAGAAGCCTTTCCCCGTCGATAAGATCCTCCACAAACAATTTCTACCTGCAGAATCAAGCTTCATACTAACAAATGACAAGCAAAAAGAAATCAACATATGATGAATTTGAAGTTTTCTTCACGATGCAGAAGAAGGAAAAAATATTCACAATAAAAAATGCAAATTTTTTTGGGAAAAAATTTAACTTGTTAAGGATCTAGATTTCCCAATTAGCACAACATGACAATCTTGCATTCCTTCACAATTATATATCTCTGCCCATTGCAAACCTAGAAATGTAGAGGGCTTGATAATGTAGAATTGTCAATGTAGATCTCAAGTCACGTAGATATTCAAACAAAAAAAAAAAAGGAATAGATTGTAAAACATAATTCCATCAGTCAGGCAAACCTTGGTAGCAATACCTAATTCCAGGATGCAAGAATGCCACTCCAGTGATTTACGAGGGTGCAAAATTTTTTGTGCTAAACTCCACTGAACAAGCCAACACATTTGCAGCATAGCATGATATCTCATGAAGCTATTCAGGAGAACCTTGCTTATTTGTTTTGCAAATTAGCATTGATACTTTGGTTAACTGGCATTGTTCTTTGGCAGCTACAATTAAGATGCATTTTGACCGTGCAAACTCTTATGCGAGAAATGTCTGAAACAAACTAAGCAAAATCCAGGGCTTTAAAAAAAGATGGTTTCTAGGACAATCAATAATCAATCTCAAAGATAACTTTCAGAAAAAGTAATCTTGAACTTAAGCAATTTTGTAAATTTTCCAGACATTTGGTAGCTCACAAGCTGGCTATCCCACCCAAACTTTTAACCAATCAATACCAACAACGAATGCATATAAAATTCATCTCATAAAAAAAAAGGAATGAAATGCTTTCACAATTAATCAAAAATCATATGCAAAAAAAGAAATTGAAATAAGCTATACCCCAGGCAAAACATCATCTCCAGCTTTCTTTAGAAGATGTCCCATCTCTTCAACCTGCATGATTCAAACAGGGCTCATGTAGGTCACATATGAATCAGCAATTATATGAACATAAGAATATAATAAATGTAATTGGACTCATTTCATTTTCCTTGTTGTGGGGTGGGGGAGGGGAGGGGGGAGGGAGCTTGCCTCATGCCTTGGAATCCTTTTTCTGATATCATCAAAGTACTTCAACCCCAACCTCTGTGCATTTGTCAATGACTCCTCATTTTTCAGGTCATCCAAAGTTCGGTGGCCTTTTTCATAAAGCTTCAAAGCAGTGGCTGGACCAATTCCCCATATTTCTCCAAACAAACTAATTGTCTTGACCTGAATATCCACAAGAAAGAACAAATAAGAAACTCAATGCCCTTTAGTTTGCATGAAACAAATTGGGAGTTGGAAATTTCCTCAACAATTCAACTCTACAATTGATCACAAGAATCAGCTAGTAGCTCCTCATTTTGCGAATAATCATATGCATAAAAATCTCTACCATGAACCTCTACAGGGTTTCAGATCATGTAGGAGGAAATGGAGAACAGGGTTAGCTCCTGGATATGTAAGATACACACTCATCTAAAAAAAATATTCATGTAGCTGAATCTCACCAATTCTATATATTAAACATACTTAAACAAGTAAATCAGATTGATTGTCATTCAGGGGTATCACAATGGTAAATTGCAATCAACCATCAAGCCACACACAGACAAAATGTGATGCACAGTTGTACAGCATGGAAAATGAACATCTTATAAGTCCTCAAATCCCAAGAACATATGAGGAGAAACCTGTTATATATTACAGAAAATGCAGTTAACAAGATAACACAAGCAAAACATCTCTCATCACCAAATATTATTGAAATAAATCAAAAGACATTTGACGAATTACGGAGGCTTGTGATACCTTTTCATCCTTCTCAAAGTGCTCCAACTTGGATAGCTTCCCAGTTGTCACTATCTCCTGAATCTGCAATCAGAGAGCACGCTTGTCTTTTCAAGGTATGTAGAGGAGCATATGCAGGTGATAATTCTCCTGCAACCCGCCAGACTTACCTAATATTGGAGATTTCAGTTGTAAAAGATCTATAACAACACTTTTGTCAATCAATGAATCAGAATCTACTTAATATCAGAGACAGACAAAAGAAACACATTGTCTAGGTGCCTACTTAAATAGATGCAGAATTAGCTTATATAAAAAGGAAAAATTCTTCGTGCATGTTATCTGCATACAACTAGTAACTTCACCACCAAATTCTAAAGTGGGATAGAAACACCAGGACTTTCAGTGACAGACAAAAGAAATGCATTGTTTAGGTGCCTACTTAAATAGATGCAGAATTAGCTTATATACAATGGAAAAATTCTTCGTGCATGTTATCTGCATACAACTAGCAACTTCACCACCAAATTCTAAAGTGGGATAGAAAAACCAGGACTTTCTGTCTCAGAATTCCACACAAGCAATGAGAAGCTTGAGATGGTATAATACTTGCGTTTATTGTCCACAAACAAAGAAAGTGTAGTTGTACATGTTACAGTAAAAGACGCTTTACTTACATGATCTAGCATTGACTTGCCAATACCAGGTAAGTGTTTAACCTGTTCCACACTCTCAATTTTGAAAGGCAGCTTTTCAATCACAAGAATGGCTTTGTGATAGCTAAATGACCTCCGATCGTCACCAAGAGCTACCATGGAACAAGTAAAACGAAACAAAGCATTCAGAGGATGAAAAGATGAGATATTATCCTAAAATAGAAAATGATAATTCCAAAAGTCTTCACCTCTATATATGTTTATAAGCCTCCCAAATATCTCAGTTATATTCCTGTTTAAATCAGGAGGACTGTAAAGCAAGGCTGAGTCTGAAGTCAAAACCTGATCAGAAGATAATAGAAAGATTCAATGACATTTAGGCCGACAAAAAGATGCTTACAGAATTGATTGTTACACCATTATTCCTCTAGACCACACTGCAGCCTTCCGAAGGATAAATTAAGGAAATAAAAGTTGCATTGATTTATACAAATAAGACAAATGACATGTCTGAAATCAAAACTTACAGTCTTGTGTTGAGCATCAATTGATGGGTCAGTGATTTCAGGACTTAAAGAATGCATAGAGACATATGAACCACTTGAAGAATCAGGTGACTCAGGTACTGCATTTTCCTCCAATTTGACAGTGTTCTTCACATTTGTATCTGCAAGATCCATTGGCGAAATTCTGATCTTTTTTCGCTGTAATGTTTCACTAGCACCAGAATGGACATCATTCAAGAGTTTGGGGAAAGTTTCTTCTGCAGTGTTACTTATCTTGTCACCTCCTCCTCTCTCCAATGACAGAATATATGATTCTTCAAGTACTTTTTTTCCTTCTCTCAAGCTGTCTTCAAGCCACTGATAACTGAGAACTATCTGGACAAGAGTAGCAAGAAATAACCAAAGTTCCTAAAATTTTCTAAATATGTTCTTCAATCAAAGAAAATTACAAGTCACACTTCAGAAGTTAATTTCTAAGCCAAGTAGCTAGCTGCATTCAAACCACCAAAATATAAGGAAATTCGAGTGATAGCATATCATAAAATCCTTAAAAAAGCTTCTTTTTTCCTAGTAAACTTTAATTGAGCTTCATATCACTTAAATTAGGCCTTTAAAGAGCTAGAAAAGAAACTGAAATTAAATCTAAAAGACAACAAAAAGATTGCTAAACAATAACAAAAACAGAATAGTTAGACTTGATCTCTACCAATCAAATTACGCAAGAAAAAAATGTACCAACAAAATTAGCATAATATATAGGTGATGAACACAAAATCCTATTACTCACCGTTTTCAAGCGCTTTACGAGTTCAAGATCAACTTTTTGAATCAATGTATCTAAGTTTATAGCAAACACATGCGTAACATTTTTCGAGAAATCATCCTCTATTTTCGCCCCCAATTGCTCTAATCGGTGCTTCCAAATCTTCATAAGATGACAACAAAGGCCACAAAAAAGAAAGAAATTTCAAATCCCAAATTCATCTAAAGTAGGAGTCTTTTTGACGGAAAAAATTTTAACGAGCGGAGAGTAATAGAAAAACCAACCTGTAACCGACGGGCCTGAACTCCGCTTTCGATTAAGTGAACAACCATCCCGGAGAACATTCCTTGAGGATCGGACAGCGGAGATTTAGCCTTCTTCTTCGTCTTATTAGTAATAGCAGGAGTGCTTCTCCTTGGCGCCATTTCAGCAAGCAGAAATTGTAGAACAAGCCAGAAGAAACCGTGACGAGTACTCTTTTGTCAGTTTTGTGTATATCGTTGAACTTTTCGTAAATTACACTCACCTACTCTAAGTTTGTGGAAATCGCGAAAACATCCTCCCCTTTACTATTTCTTTAACATTTAAATTCGCATCAAAATTGGGATAAAAAACTGAAGCAGAAACACTACTGAAAGCTAGCTGATATTTGAGTTGGGTTCTATTAAGTACTCAGGGCCTGTTTGGAACCTGAGTTTTTTGGGAGTTTGTCTAAAACTTTACTGTAGTGTACTGTAGAAGTTTTTGAAAAAATTTTGTAGACGTTTTTGTAAGGTGAAATACTTTTTTTTTCTTTTTTTTTTTCCTTTTTTTCTTTTCTTTTTTTCTTTTTTTTTTCTCTTTTCCTTTTCCTTTCTTTTCCTTTCTTTTCCTTTTTCTTTTCTTTCCTCTCTTTTTCTTTTTCTTTTTCTTCTTCATCTTCTTCCCCGTTACCTCCACCACCCCCAGCAGCAACTCCACCTCCCGCCACCCCCCTCTGCCCCGCCTTCTCCCTCTCCCCTCTCTGCCCCTCCCCCCGCCTTCCCTCTCTCCCCACCGTCCCCCTCTGCGCCGCCCCCTCTGCCTCTTCCCCCTTCCCCCGCCGCCCCTTCCCCCCTCTGCCCCCCTCGCTGCCCTCCTCTGTGCCAACCCCCTCTGCGCCGGACGTAGAGAGAAAAAAAAAGACAAGAGAGGATGATGGTAGGGGAGGAAGAGGGGGAGAGGGAAAAAAAGGGGAAAAAAAAGACCGACACCGGCACCGGAAATTGGTGACGGAGCCGGCAATGGAGGTGGTGGTGGGGGAGGAAGAAGAAGAAAAGGGGAAGGAAATTTTTTTTTTTTTTTTTGTTTTGAATATTTTAAGTGTGTAGGTTAAAAACTTTGATAAGTTTTTTGGGGTTCCTGTAACAAAAGTTGTTAAAAAACTAGTTTTATACAAACTTGGTAAAAAACCGAGCTTCCAAACAGGGCCTCAGTCATCCAAGCTTCAGTCATTCGAGCCCTGACATTCGTCCCGAAGAGATCAAGGCGTGAAACTCCACCAATTGAGACCACGTTTTTAACTTTAACTCGGTGCACGAAGAAGACCAAGAGAACAGGATTAGAAATTTGGACATCAGTTTAAAGCCCTGCATAAACCCTCAAAAAACAAACTCCAGTCTTATTTGCACATCAGGCCAGAGCAATCACAGTTCAATTGCTAAAACTAGAAAACAAAGGGGAAAAAGATCATAACTTGATGATTTTGCAGCATTCAATTTCATTTCCAATGCTTCACATATGCAGATTTTCATCATCATCTTCTTCTCTATCCCCTAATCTTATCCTGCCTCTAAAGCATTCTTTTCTCCGATCTCGCTTATCTTTTTCAATCACACCATGCAGCTTTAAAACTAGATCATTGGGAACAGCCGCCGCCGGTGTTACCACCGCCACCGCTGCTGGTAATAAAAGTGGAAGTGAGACATTCTTTGCAGAAGAAAATGTTTCATGGGCTTCTCTGGGTGTTTCTGATTTAGTTGCTCGAGCTCTATCTGATATTGGTTTGCACAGACCCTCCCTAGTTCAGGTACACGAATTACCGAGATGATATATTTTTGCCTTTTTCCACTTGTTATTACTCGGGATTTCCTTGAAATGATAAAAAGATTTAAACTTCACGTGGGTTTCGTTCTTTCCTTTTTTTTTTTGTGAACTCTTGTTGTACTTTTAGTGCTATTGAGGTTAATTATTTGATTTTTTCGTATTTTTATTGATGATATTTTTCTTGAATTTTATGACACAACAGTTAAACCATCATGCAACGAGAGAATAGTTAATCATTATTTCGTACTGTTTAGATTTGTTAGATAGAGTAGGATACTTATGGATTATCTGCAATTCAGGCTGCTTGCATCCCGAGAATACTTTCGGGAGCTGACACAGTGGTTGCAGCAGAGACTGGTAGTGGGAAAACCCATGGATATCTAGTTCCTTTATTCGATATGTTATGCAGGACCTCTGATGATTCAGTGGAATCTTTGTCTGATCGAGAATTGGGCAAACGCTATCCTCAATCTCTTGTTCTTTCTCCAAATGTCATGTTGTGTGGACAAATTGTCCAGATGGCAAACAATCTGCGTAAAGAAAATGGAGAACCTCTGATTAGTGTTGCAGCTGTATGTGGGCATCAGGTACATAATTCTTCTTATTTTTCTTCTGGAATGAAAAAGTGCCTGTAACAAGTTTTCATGTCTCTGTTACCAGCGGGATTCTATACCATATTTGGTATATTACTGCTGATATCTATGCTGCTCAATATAGTTTTCAATCATAATGCAACAAAGATTATCTATTGTATATCTGACGCAGGGTTGGCCAGTTCATGAACCAGATATAATAGTTTCAACACCAGTTGCGCTTCTTAATTACCTTTATGCAGTTGATCTAGAGAGATGCAGGCGCTCTAACTTCATTCGTGGTGTGAAATATGTTGTAAGTTTATGTGTCCCTGATTATTTTTATTTTTGAACTTGTTTCCTTTTCTAATATCATTTGCTTCTTTAAATGATGTGTAGGTTTTTGATGAAGCAGACATGCTTCTTTGTGGGGGTTTCCAGAACCAAGTCATCCGTCTCATACACATGCTTCGCTTTGATGAAAAGCAGTTGTCTCGCATGAAGAGTTTAGAAAGTGAGAACACTGTGGGCTTAAGTGATAAGGGTCACATTGAAGCTAGTATAAATGAGCATATAGATATGGATGGAGATTTTATTTTGGAAAATGATGAACGTTCTGAGAGTGATGATGCTGCTGAAACCTTGGAAACTGAAGATCATAATGTGCAAAGGAAAGACTGGAGAAGGGTTAGGAAAACATATGAGCGGAGTAAGCAGTACATTTTTGTTGCAGCAACTCTTCCTATGAATGGAAAAAAAACTGCAGGAGAAGTATTGAAACGGATGTATCCAGAAGCCAGCTGGGTTACAGGAAATTACATCCATCGCCACAACCCCAGGTGTGCTAATTAATTGTTTCTTACCATCTATATATTTGAAGTCTTTCTTTTTTATTTTTAGTTTTGGTTGCATATTGACTGTTTAGCAATAATTGGTAATGCTGATTTTGTGCAGAACAGCACGTACCCATCTTTTCTTTGTCTCTTTTATAATTTTAATATTGATTTAGATACTTTCTTAAAAGCGTACTGGAACATTATCAGAGTTTTGACGGAAAGTTACCATAGGACAGTAAAAATGTCTTCAATCATAAATCTGTAGAGGCTTTGCAAGGTGACCGATTAAAAAGCTGAAGTGTCACAATGCAGTGGAAGGGGGCAAAGTATGCAAATTTGGTGTTGCTTGTCGAATCAGTTTACTGGATTAAGTCAGATTCGAAAAGGAAATTTAAGGTAACCTGGGAAGAAGGAGAACATAACTTGTGTCATCCTTGTGATTTCCTTCACACTGTTTCACTTCACTGACAGAGTCTCAATCCATATTTTGGGTTCAGGTTTTCCGTAGATTAATTGCTGCTGGTGATTGATCATACCACATGCCTAAGATGGACAACTTTTATGCAAATGGTTAAGGAAGTAGAAAGACCAACAGCTATAACATAGTCTTCTGTTAAGGAAGTAGAAAAAAGTCTCCCAATTTTATGGACACAGTTTAAGAATTCTAGCAACAATATGTGATTATTTCACTATTCCTGCAATGGTTATCTTTTTGACAGCTATGGTTCTGGGCATGAAGAAAATGAGGATCTGCTGAGAATAGTCTGGCCATGCTTACTGTTATGGCTTAACTCATTTAGGTTGCACTGATATATGTATATTTCTTTTCTCACATGTTTCCTCCTTTGCTTTAGGTTGGAGCGGAAATGGATTGAAGTGACAGTTGATACACAGGTAGATGCTCTCATAAGTGCTGTCAACCATGGTTACAATTCTGGATTGAATTCTTCATCTGGGATTATCCGAACAATTGTGTTTGCAAATACTGTTGAGGCTGTTGAAGCTGTGTCTAATATCTTGACTGGTGCTGGAATTGAATGTTTTCGTTACCATAGTGATTGCTCGTTGGATGAGCGCACGAAAAATTTATTGGATTTCCAGCAGAAAGGTGGTGTTTTTGTGTGTACAGATGCTGCTGCACGTGGTCTAGATGTGCCTAATATTTCACATGTTATTCAGGTACTTCATTGCTTCTAAGGTTTGCTATTTTTCGTCTAGTTATTACATTGACAAGTTCAATAAGGGATGCATGAAGTATTCAGTCAATTGTTCACTAGTGCATTTGCCAACTAAGAAAGTCAGTCTCCTTATAATCATATAAACTGGAAATTATATGATCAGACAAAGGAAAAAAGCAGAAAAAGAGGGAAAACGCAAAAGATTGTCGTATAGATCATGGTGTACTGTGGAGAAATAGGAAGGAGTTTACTTTGGGTGTACCAAAACCATCCCAATCTGTTGCTAAGATTTCCAGTTCCTGAATATGTTCGTTAGCTTCCTGCGGAGTTAAATCCTGATACTTTGGGTTAGATGGAGTGCACGTACTAAGCAGTATAGTCCACTTTTGGCTTATCCAATACATTAGTGCTCTTGCTTTCTTTCTTTTATGCCTGAATTTTGTTCAAACATTTGGAGCAGAGGCAGGGGTAACCTGTGTTTGCTAATGTGGTTTTGTGGAAACCTAGCTGGATGGAAGAAGCACAGTCTAGATTATTCATTTCCCCTTCCTCCTATACCCATGGGCCTACAAAGAATTGTTTGAAAGATTTGAAGTACATGCTGAATTATGTCTTAAGACTAAAAATTTTCTATGAGCAATTGATTATAAGAGACTCTTACTATTTGTCTTCTTGAAAAATAGTATTAGAGGTCTCAACGAACGTTACATTTTCTTTATTGTAAGATCCGAAAGTACACATATTTTGGTGCAATACATGCAAAAGAAAGAAAGAACAGACATGGTGATACTAGATTGATTCTTAATGCTTTCAACTCTTTCTTCCTTTTTTTATTCCTGTAGCAACTTGTACGAAGCCAAGTATACTTTTTCTGAAGTCCAACTCTGCTTGTTTCTATTTTGTTTTAGGCTGAATTTGCTACATCTG